GGCCAACAGACACATGAGGAAATGCTCGCGATCACTAGCCATTAGAGAAATGCAAATTAAAACCACAATGACATATCATCTCACCCCTGCATTACCTACATGAAGCAAAAACACTGGAAATAACAAATGTTGGCAAGGCTGCGGGGAGATCAGAACTCTTATGCACTGCTGGTGGGAATGTATAATGATACAACCATTTCAGAAAATGATATGGCACTTCCTTAGAAAGCTAGAAATAGAAATACCATACGTTCCAGCAATCCCACTCCTAGGAATATATCTTATAGAAGTAAGAGCCATCAAACGAACAGATGTATGCACAGCCATGTTCACTGCAGCACTGTTCACAATAGCAAAAAGATGGAAACAATCTAGATGGCCATCAATAGATGAATGGATAAACAAACTATGGTACATACGCAAAATGGAGTATTATGTAATAATAAAGAACAATGATGAATCTGTGAAGCATCTCATAACATGGATGAAAGTGGAGGACATTATTCTGAGTGAAATAAGTCAATCATAAAAGGACAAATATTGTATGAGACCTCTACTGTAAAAACTCATGAAAAAGTTTACATACAAAAAGAAATAATCTTTGTTGGTTACCAGGGATGGGAAGGGTGGGGGGAAAAACTAAATAGACAATAGTAGATAAGTGGTAACTTTGGTGAAGGGTAAGACAGTACAGAATACTGCGGAAGCCAGCGCAACTTGTACAAGGAAAGGTCATGGAAGCTCCATAGACATATCCAAACTCCCTGAGGGGCTGAGTTGCTGGGCAGAGGGCTGTGGGGACCATGGTCTCGGGGAACATCTAGCTCATTTGGCATAACACAGTTTATAAAGGCAATGTTCTACATTCTACCTTGGTGAGTAGCATCTGGGGTCTTCAAAGCCTGTGAGCAGCCATCTAAGATATACCAGTGGTTTCACCCCTTCGGAAGTAAGGAAGAATGAAGAAAAACTAAAGGCACAAGGGAAAGATTAGTCCAAAGGACTAATGGACCACATCTACCACGGCCTCCACCAGACTGAGTCCAGTACAGCTAGATGGTGCTCCGCTACCACCACTGACTGCTCTGACTGGGATCACAACAAGGGGTCCTGGACACAGCTGGAGAAAAATGTACAACGAAATTCTAACTCACAAAAAAAGACCAGATTTACCGGTCTGACAGAGACTGGAGAAACTCCGAGAGTATGGCCCCTGGACACCTTTTTAGCTCAGTAATGAAGTCACTCCCGAGGTGCACCCTTCAGCCAAAGATTAGACATACCCATAAAACAAAATGAGAGTAATGGGCACAACAGTCCAGGGACAAGGACTAGAAGGCAGGAGGGGACAGGAAAGCTGGTAACAGGGAACTCAAGGTTGAGAAGGGACAGTGTTGACATGTCATGGGGTTGTTAACCATTGTCATAAAACAGTACGTGTACTAACTGTTTAATGAGAAACTATTTGTTCTGTAAACCTTCATGTAAAGTACAATAAAAGACAAAATTTCAAGATCTAAAAAAAAAAAAAATTGCAGCAAAGATTTAAACAGTTTTTTTTTTTTAATCAAAGCATTATTTAAAATAGCAAACAACTTAAACCAAATGCATAAAATTAAGTGCCATTATTGATGGAATAATGATATCCTGAAATACCATAAAAAGAAAACTGAATAAATTTAAAAAAAATATTTTTAACAACATGAGAAATATGTTATGTAAATAAGCAAGATACAAAGCTCTTCCTTCAGGTACAATATGAACTCAACTACATTTTTAAAACAACAGTAAGTTATGGTGTGAAAACTGAAATTACAGATAATTTAAAATTTGTCTTTTACAATTTTTAAAATTTTCCATAATGGGAAAACAATCATTTTCATAATCAGGGGAAAAAAAGTATTTGTGAGGGTGTAGAGGTGGGAGGTGTTAAAAGGGAACCAATTGACACATTGAGTACACAGTGGTGGTTTTTCAGGTACACTGTATTTGGATTTTTTCCTATGAATCAAGTTCTTGGTTCTGGTTTAGAGGAGGATAATGAAGAACAGCAAAAAAAATATGATGTCATGGAACAAAACTAAAGACAAACAAGAAGACCCTGATGAAGGAAATTTCGAGCAAAGTTTTTCAGTCGTATCTTAAGACTTCCTTTCAGGAAAATGCTTTTTAGTGTCTTTTACCAATGCTTATTTACAAGGCCTCAAACCATTGCTCTCTTCCCAAGTATCTTTTCTACTGGTGACTTGAAAGAACCATTTCAAAATCAAAAAGCAGGGTAGCACAAATTGCAGCTAAGTTATCCTCAAGCCTTACTTCTGGTAAGGGAAATACTCTTTCAAAATCATACAAAAAGAGACAAAATGCATGTTCTACCTTTAAGGATCTACCCCCCCCCACACACACCTTTACTCCTTCTTTGCCTGTTTTAAAGATAATGCCTAGTTTAAAAAGACCAGTACAACCAAAATGCATATTTCATACTAAAAGGTGAAGTTTTGGTGTGACCAGAAAACAACCAATGAATGGCCAAGGCAGGAAAACGATGAGTGGTGAGAGGTGGTGTGACATGCTGCTAAAGGAAAGGGGAGGAGTAAGCCTTGGGAAGCAGCCAGAACACATAAGTCACTCAGTGGCCCAACTATAGAAAGTTTGGTCATCTTTGAACACGTGCTTTTCATTTTCTTAACAGTAAACATTTTATAAGAATGAGAGAGAGAGACATTCACACACAAAATGCAACTTGAAACTGGACTGAGTTTAAGGGAGAATGTAAAATATAAACTTCTCAAACACAAGGACTTTAATTTCAAATGTCAATTCATAGTTTAATTTTCACATTCATTCAAAACATTCAAAGCTTCTACATCACTGAATACTTTCAGGAAAGACATGTGCACTCCTCAATTGTACCAATTCGTTTTTGTTTTCATATTTCCTAATTTTAAAATTGTTGTTATTTTATTTTGTTTGTTGTTCATTTTCAAATGAAAACCATCCACTAAAAGAGATGAGAAAACTTAAAAGTCAGAAGCAGCAGCAGCAGCCACAATCCTTTTTTTCGGGCAAAACTTAGATAAGACTAAAATTAAAACATGACATCACCAAGCTTACAATTTTAAGATGTAAGTAGCTATGAGTTTTTAGTTATTTTAAGTTATTTAAACTCTCCCAAGACATTCTGTAAACATTAAGTTACCAAGAAAACTGCTCCCAAGTAAAAGCAGACACCACCATATGACTCATCAGACTTGGATACTGTATTAAACACATAGAAAACTTGACATCTACAACCCTGGAAAATCCAAAAGGCCCACCTCATTAAGACAGCAGAGTATAAAAAGCTTTAAGGCAGAAAAAAATTAAGTGCTAATGACTGTTATAATTAATACCTAAACAGCTTATTATCTTACTAAGTATTAGACTAAGGCTGTACCATTTTATTGGTTTGTGATCTTTAGAACAAAATTCTGGTTTATTTTGGGAAGCAAATACAAGACAGAGAGAAAATAAGAAACCAAAAGTGGAATAAAAAGTAAATTGTATAGTTTGTCGTCATCAAAGGAAATCCTGTAACTTAAAAAAGTATACTGGAAAATCCTCCCATAAGTCAGCTTAGGAGCTCAGTTCTGCTCAGCATTTTTCTAGACTCCACTAGAGGTCTAAGAATTGCAAATTAAGTTTACCAAGAGGCAAAACTGTTAGACTTACAGAACCTGAAATAGAGAATGTATTATCTAGTCCATCTTGGATAGCTGACTATCTGTATACATACTATATATATATATATAGTAGAAAAGTTCACACTAGAATCCAGGTCATCCAGCCATCAGGTGGCGCTCCCGTTCTAGCTGGAGAGTCCACAGTGCAGTGGCAGATCTAGGACACAGTACTGCCCCTGTAGAGATGTTGGATATCAGAACACTACATGGTATCTATTAACTCTAAGGCCATTTTCCATGTCTAACTTTAAGTCACTGCTTCCTATCTTAAGATTATGGATCTGTGGACCAAATAGCTGTTTTTTGCGTGCTTTTTCTGATGACCAAAAAATGACATCTTACCCCAGACTTGCTGGAAACCAAAACATTATGACTAGAGGCCTCTTGAAGGCTATTAGGATTTCTATTATGTAAGCTGGTCACCATCAAGTGATACAGACTTAGGCTGGGACCCTACTTGTCTATAATTATTTCCTTGTAAAAGTCTGCCTCCAAGTGAGGTTCTCAAAATCTTATACACTGTATGAGGTCGTGGGCCCACCTTACCCAGGACACCCAGGACACTTGCGAATGAAGGCAAGACTAAGTGTGCATATATTCATATCCCTGTATTGAGGTACTCTATAACATAGGAAATTAGATTTCTAAAATATAAAAATGTACAGTGTTTCTTTCCAAAACGGGTTTTTTTTTCTATTTATGAAAGTAAAATACATCTCATGTGAAAATATCCAGAAGTACATAAAATGCAAAGTGAAAGTGACCTCACAATCCTACCTCCCATACTATCCAGTTTTAACTACTGGCTGGTAGACTGGAGTTAGACTGCCTGGATTTAAATTTCAGCTCTGCCACTTATGATCTGTGAGACCTCTCAGGGTGTCAGTGTCCTCATCTACAAAACAGAGATAATGGCAGGATGTGAGAATAGCTAGTGTTTATTGAGTACTTTACAAAGTGCAAGTATTGTTTCAAGCACTTTAAATACATTCACTAACTGATTTTAATAAAGTGACAGAGTAATAATATGTATGTAAAGCATTTAGAACAGTGACTAAGACTTAGTCAAGTGCTCATCAGATTTCAGCCATTATTATGTCCTTCCAAACACTTCCATGCATGCATAAACACACACACACAGTTTTAATACAAACGGGTTCATAAAAACTATTCTGTAACTTGCTTTTCCCTTACTATATTACAGACATCCTTTAATATTAATATAAATAGACCTACTTCATCCCTTTTAAGGCGCATACAGTAATAATATTTTCTAACATACGAGTTTTTTTGTGCTTGACACTGTGTTTTATGTGTATCATCTCTCTTAATCTTCACAGCAACCCTAAAAAGCATGGGCCATTATTATTTCCACTTTAGAGAGGAGGAAAGCCAAGACTTAACCAAATTAAGTAACTTGCCCAAGAACATACAGCTACATGTGGGGGAGCAGGATTTGAACTTAGCTTTAGGTTCCTCTGAAATTAAGCCACCATGGCACACCATATCTCTTCTATAGTGCCACAGTTTTAAACCAATGTTCATTAACAGATGTTTATATAGGTTCCATTTTGGGGAGGTGTTTTTAGCAATGCCGCAGTGAACATACTGGATCATAGATTGTGTACTCTTTCCCTATTTCCTTATTATATACTTCCAGATGTGTAACTGCTGAGTCAAAGAATATTTACTTTTAAAATTTTGATAAACATTTCCAGATTGCTTTCCAGAAAGCTGGTCCCAATTGACCAACAACACTAAGTAATATGAGAGTGAACACTGGGTACTCTCCACCTTTCTAATCTTTGTCAATCTCAGAGATAAGAACATTTTAGTTTTACATGCATTTTTTACTACAATGACTTAAGCATATTTTCATACATTTTAAATAAGTATTTCTTCATTTATAAAAAAAGATTTAAGTCCTTTGCCCACTTTTCTATTGAAAAGTTCACTCTTTAAAGAGATACCAAGTTTGAACAATATAATGACCCACAGCCCATTTTAAATAGCTGGAGTCATACCATAATGCCAATATTTGAATAATTTCTATTTATACAACTTAAGAAAAATCAAAGTATGCTTAGGTCATGCAGGAGCTACAGTTATTACATCAGAAGCAGGGCACTTCCCTATAAATCAACAGGATCAAATCAAATACTGCTGCTACATAATCTGAAGGGTGAGAATGTAAGCAGAAACATTGTTTTCCAAACTAAGATTTTGTTGTTCAGATGTGACATTAAAGACCTTGTTGTTTATTTATTTGGACCAGCATATATATAATTTCTTTTTTAAAATAATACCAATTTACTCTTCAGCAGAAAACTTTCCAGTGTAGATAATTCTCTAGAAAGCAACTAATCATTGTCATCATCACCATGGCTACCATTTATTAAGCACCTGCTCTGTGCTAGACTGTACTATATGCATTATCACACTTAATCTTCACAACAACTATGAGGGAGATACTATTTCCCCATTTTACAAATGAGGAAACAAGAGCCTCAGAGAGGTTAAACTACTTGCCAGAGGCTTCTCAACTACAAAGTAGTAGAGCTAGGATTTGAACCCTACCTAACTCCAGAACTATTGTTCTAACCATCGTGCCTACCCTTTATGACCAGATTCACTCAAACAAAGCTAAAGCCAAGGATAAATTTGTAACTTCCTAAAGGCAACTCGGAATACTTCCATGTATTTATTTTAATATCCATTAATCCATTCAATCTATATTTAAGTCTATATTGTCTTCTCGGAGCCCTGGTGGCGCCAGTAGTTAAGCGTTTGGCTGCTAACCAAAAGGTCGACAGTTCGAATCCACCAGTCGCTCCCTGGAAACCCTATGGGGCAGTTCTACTCTGTCCTACAGGGTTGGTATGAGTTGGAATCGACTCGACAGCAACAGGTTTGGTTTGGTTTTGGTAAATTCAAATTATCAAATTCAAGAGAATTACTGCTCTTTTCTTCCACGATCACCTTATTAATTCTTGGAAACTCTTAAGTCATTGGCTTCAAAGAAATTTAAAAGGATCAACTCATCCTTCTACCAGAGACAAGGCTGTGTTAACTCTCCCTCTGCCCCAACCCACAACCCAACCTGCCCTTTTGTTCATACAGCTTTAGGAGCTATTTAAAGGAGTTTTATAAACTCCGCTGGGAACCTCTGCAATTATTTCATAGATTATTTAAAATACATATTGTCTATCCTATGCTGTCTTCATTTATTTGTCCAAATAGGAAAAAAAGTATCAGAATGCTCTACTGTATGAATGGGAGACTAACCAACACTGAGTGGCAGCCAGAATCCAGCAGGGAGTTTGGATTAAAGTCCAGGTTTAAGCTCCATCTAGATGGGTTCCCAAAAGCCCCAAAATAAGCCTCAGGAGACCAGAAAGGGAAAGTTCCTCTGGCATGGTCTCCTAGTGGTGACAAAGGAGTCCCTCTTATCTGCCTGGCAGCCTTACAATCAGAAAGTGCTTACATCTAACCTAAATCTCTCTCACTGAAATTCAAACCCATTTCTTTTTCTCATATTCTCTGTAAAAATAAAGAACTTCACTGAAGCAAGTAACTTGCTCAAATTTTCACAGCAGGTAAGTAAAAGGTAGCTGGATTCAGGACTGGTTTTCTCTAAGCCTCATTACATAATCAAACATTTTCCTAAGGAAATAATAATTTATCTCCCTCAAGAAAACTATGAAACTGACTTGAAAATAAAGTTGCCTGAAATCTTCATGACTACCACATATCTGAGAATTTAAAAGCAGAAATCCCTCACAGTCCTTCTAAAAGTCTTTATTAATTAAAAAAAAAGTAGTTTCATCTAACTTTCATCAAACACTTCTATGATGGAAACGGTGCTAAACATTTAATATGCATGGCATTCTCTGATCTTCAAAACAATTCTATAAAGTAGGTGCTTCTTGATTTATAAATGAGGAAACAGGTTTAGTTAAGCCACCAGCCCCAAGACATACAGCTAGTAAACGGAACCTAGTCTACCTCATACCAGAGCCAAAGCTCATAATCCATTAAGCTATATGTTGCCTCTCATCTGACCTTCATTTTCAAATGCGTAAGCCTCCCTTTATAGACGACTTTGTTCCTGAGAGCATCAAGTTATTCATAATAATAAATTTTATTTTTCTTATCTCTTTCCATTATGAAATTCATGGAAAAATAACAACCCCAAGGTTTCACAAAACCAAAGAAAGTCATACTTAAGAATGCAGCAAACATTTAGAAAAAACAAAGGAAGAAAATATGTCCACTAAGACTTTGGGAGAGTGCATACAAGCAACTATAGAGATTTTGCACTAGATAACCATTTGGCAACAGTCCATTTTGAGAACCTACTCTGTTCCATTAAGCTACTTATTACTGTAGCTAAGCCAAACTATTTTATTTTCATACTCATATAATTTGAAATTCCTGGGTGGTGCAAAGAGTTAAGCACTCAAATACTGGTGGTTCAAACCCACCCAGAGGTGCCTCAAAGAAGTACTGGCGATCTGCTTCTGAAAGGTCACAGTCTTGAAAACCCTATGGAGTGTAGTTCTACTCTGCAGACGTGGGGTCACCATGAGATGGAGCCAACTCTAGGGCAACTAACAACAATACTAATATATTTTGACATGTGGTTGTGCAAGCCCCTCCCCTTTTTCCTTTTTTCCTAAAATTCTTACTCTTTCATATGAATTTTAGAATCTGCTTGTAAAGGTCAATTAAAAATACTGCTGGGATTTTGACTGCATATCAACCTTTTTTTTAAGAGATGAAATTCATACAACATACAATCAACCACACAAGGTATACAATTCAATGGTATTTAGTGTGTTAACAATGCTGTACAACTACCATCTCTGCCTAGTTTCAAAATTTTTTCATCACTCCATAAAAACGCCCCATACCCATTAAGTAATCACTCCCCTGGTAACCTCCAATCTGCTTTCTGTCTCTATGGATTTGCCTGTTCTGGATATGTCATATAAAAGGAATCATACAATATGTGAACTTTTGTGTCTGGCTTATTTCAATTAGTACAATGTTTTTCAAGTTCAGTCACAAAAAGGAGCTGAATAATATTCCACTGTATGAATGTCATAATTTGTTTATCCATTCATTCACTGCTGGATATTTGGGTTGTTTCCACTTTTTGGCTATTATGAATAATGCTGCTATAAATATTCAGTGTAGACGTTTCTGTGTGGACATACATTTTCATTTCTCTTGGGTATATACCTAGGAGTGGAACTGCTGGGTCATATGGCAATTCTATGTTTAACTTTTTGAGGAACTACCAAACTGTCTTCCATAGTGGCTGTAACATTTTACTTTCCTACCAACAATAAAGGAGTGCTCTCATTTCTCCACATCCTCCCCAATGCTTGTTATTTTGTTTTATAGATTAACGTCATCTGGAAATCAGTGGATGAAAACGCTGTGGATTACAATGGTCTGATTTGCAACTGATCACTGGGATGGCGCAGGAATGGGCAGAATTTCATTCTCTTGTGCATGGGTTTGCAATGAGTCCACTCAATGGCAGCTAACAACCACAACAGTGAGAGTGAAGTGGTATCTTGTTATGGTGTTGATTTTTATTTCCTTAAAGATCAGTGATGTCAAACATCTTTTCATGTGCTTGTTGGCCCTTTGTATATCTTAATAGGTTGTTTGTCTTTGTTGTTGAGTGGTAAAAGTTCTTTATATATTCTGGACACTAAACTCTTAACAGATACATGATCTGCAAATATTTTCTCCCATTCTGTCTTTTCACATTTGTGATAATGTGTTTTGATGCACAAAAGTTTTTAATTTTGATAAAGTCTGGTTTATCAATTTTTTTTCTCCGTTGCGCATGCTTTTGGTGTCAAATACAAGAATCCATTGTCAAATCCAAGATCATGAAGATTTATTCCTATGTTTTCTTCTAAGGATTCTATAGGTTAAACTGTTATAATTAGGTCAACCCATTTTGTGTTAATCTTTGTGTATGGAGTGTGGCAGGGGTGGGCAGCATCTTTTTTAAAAGCATAGTTTAAATTACCCCAGCCTGGAGGACCTCATCACCACCGAAAAAGAAGAGCCAGGAGTGGAGCACGTCCTTTGGACCCAGGATCCCTGTGCTGAGAAGCTCCTGGAACCAAGAAACCAAGAGAGGAGCTGTAACATGGAAGCCAGAGAGGAAGTGCTGTAACACAGGAGATGGAGAGAAGAAGTGGCAGAGAAATGGCAGCAGCAGAAGCAGGAGACCAGCAGGAGATGGTGCAGTGGGCTTCCTGGCCGATGGAGTGAGAAAGCTGAGCGCCTTCGGGCAGGAGGCTTGCTGGTGGAGTAGGGTGCCTCCAGGTACTTGGTGGAGCTAGGTTTGAAAACCCACAAGACCTAAGCACCTGTTACCTGTTACTTCCCTAATAATTATGAAAAAAAGAAAAAAATGACCCCAGCCTTAGCCTTGGGCTTAAACTTAGCATTCTGACTTGGGTTCCTTGGCTGAGTTCAGGCATTTCTGACACCTGGTGGACAAGTATCCAAACTGAAGCTAAAGTTTTTTTGTTTTGTTTTGTTTTGATTTTGTTGTTGAGAATACACAGCAGAACATACACCAGTTCAACAATTTCCTCATGTACAATTCAGTGACATTAATTACATTCTTCAAGTTGTGCAAGCATTCTCAACCTCCTTTTCAAAAATTTTCCTCCCCTATTAATTCAGTGCTCCTTAAGTTTCCTATCTAATCTTTTGAGCTGTTGTTGTCAATTTGACACATACAGACAGTTCTTAAAAGAGCAGAATGCTCAAGGCAGACATTCTTTACTAATTAAGCTAAACTACTGTTTAGTTTAGGAGCCCTGGTGGCACAGTGGTTAAATGCTTGGCTGCTAATCAAAAGGTCGGTGGTTCAAACCCACCAGCTGCTCCGTGGGAGAAAGATGTGGCAGTCTGATTTCATAAAGATTTACAGCCTTGGAGACCCCACGGGGCAGTTCTACTCTTTCCTACAGGGTCACTATGAGTTGGAACTGACTTGATGGCAATGCATATTGTTTGGTTTAAAGAAGACTTCTGGGGATATTTTTGGTTAAAGGTTTAAAGATTATCTCAGGGCAATAGTTTCAGGGGTTCATCCAGTATCAATGGCTCCAGAAAGTCTGAGTTCATGAAAATTTTAAATTCTGTTCTACATTTTCCCCCTTTTTATCAGGAGTCTTCTGTAGAATCTTTGATGAAAACATTCAGCAATGGTAGCCAGGCACCATCCAGTTCTTCTGGTTTCATGGCAAAGAAGGCAGTTACATGGAGGCAATTAGCCACACATTCCATTTCCTCCTCCTGTTCCTGACTCTCTTCCTCTCTTGCTCCAGGCGAAAAGAGATCAACCGCTGTACCCTGGATGGCTGCTTACAAGCTTTTAAGATCCCAGGCACTATGTGACTACCTGGGAGGTACACAGAAGCACTAAACATGACATTAGGCCAATTAACGGGGATGTCCCACGAAACCACAACCCTAAACCTTCAAACCAAGAAACCAAATCCTGTTGGGTATCTGACTCTACATAAGCAACCTCGGCAGCTGCTCTTTTTGTTGTTGTTTTAAATATATCACACATTTGCCAATTCAACTTTTTACAGGTGTACAACTTGTTGACATCAATTACATTAATCAGCTGTGCAACCCTTACTTACCCTTAATCAATGGGATTTGTCCATCACTGTCAACTGAAACTCAGTGCTCCATAAGCAATAATCACCCTTTTCCCCTTTCCTCCTGCCCTAAAAATTAAGGTTCTTAAAAAGATATATTCAAACTTATAGTATGTTATTGATTACAGAAAACAAAATAAGATGTTAAATAAATCTATTAGATGGTGCTTGCAAGGCATTTAGGCTTTCAGGATGACCACAGATGGAAAAACAGAGGAAACCAATGAACCTAACAGTTCCACTGGTTTTATGTAAGGCTGAACAATAATTGCACCATTAGCACCTGTCACGTATCCAGCACTGAGCTGGTAGGAAAGAGACCCAACTAGAAAGAGATATGATACAAACGTTAAATCCCACAATATTGTTGGAAAAAGCAAGACTAAACATAAACAATTAGTGTATGTAACAAACAAGGCTGAGTGGACCTTTCTGATATAAGCAGGGCTACAGAACAGGAAAGATCACTGTGGAACGCAGTGGCAAAGTTTTCTGAAAAAAGTGAGACTTGAACTAGGTATTGACAGAAGTTAGAACCTGGACAATATGCATACTTCACAGGCATAAGGAGGCTCTAGCTTACAACATATGTATGTTGATTCATTTATTTAACCTTCATTGTGTACCTATTTATTCTGTGACAGCCACCTAGTTATTGTGTACTTATTATGTGTTAGGTTTTGGAGATACAGAGATGAACACAAATCTTTCATTCGAGGAGCTTTTGGTCTACCAAAAAAAACAGAAGAGTGACCTAGCAAATACACGATAGTGTGGTAAGCACTGTGAGTGCCCTTCAGAGTAATATGTAAGCACAGAAAACAACCAATGTAGTTCTAACCAAAGGGATTAGAAAATTGATGAGAATTCAAAAATACTTTCCCTTTGAATATTATATGTAATACTCTCTACACTTATGGAACCTTCACTAAGGAGTAGTCAATTTTTAAAAATCTATATGTATTTCAGTTCTAAATACTGAGAAATGATTTGGTCAAGAACTTTTACAGGTATCGGTTTTACCCTGAGAAATTAGCTAAGGTGAACATTTATTATGTCCCTTCCTCCAGCTTTTTTTTTTTTTTTTAAATAAATAAAAGAGGAATCTGTCACTATATGTCACATAGCTAACAATGGAGCCAGGATACTAACACAAATCTTGTAATTGTATACCCTACAAAATATGGTTAAACGTCTGCCAATTTAGCAGATATAGTAAATTGAAACACTGACCATTTTATCTACTATATTTTTCTCCTTCTTTCTGAGATACAACCTAATCTCCCCATGATTTTAGAAGAAAATAAGGCATATTCTTCAACATTCTAAGTAACATATTGCTCAATTCTAGGAAACCACTGCTCATAACATGTACTCGATTTAGTAAAAGATCTTTAGAAAGAAAAAAAGTTCTGTCCCATTAAAAGAACTCTGAATGAAAAACATACCCCAATTTCACAAACACTAAAAATGTAAAATATATTCATCTTGACACTATGGAAAATATAAATTCTATGCTTAGGACTTGACTTTTTTTGGTAGGTAACATTTAGATCCTCTTGAAGATTTTTTTACTGTAATCTTACTTAACCAGGACTTAAAATTTATTATTAACTAAAATTTTAGTGGTAAATTAAGGAGAGGGTTTTGATGCAACAATACTTCTGTGAAATAGGCTATTATTTAAGAAGAATATGTATATTTTTAAACAACTTTAACCACTTTCATGGCATTTACAGATTAAACTTTTACTATGAAAAGGTATAGATTCAGAATGTCTACCTTACTGAACTATTCTCAGTCCCTAGAAGATGTAGAAGCTAAGATTCTGTTTTTCACCCGATACTGACCCACTGTAGACACATCAGGTATTATGTAGCCTCTTAAAATTTAGTTCGATCAGATGGGAGTAACAGTAAACAAAAAGTGAAAATCTAAAGATTTATTTTTTAACTCTGATTTGGATAATGCAGTACTTGAAATAATAGGTACTGATGAAAGTTTTGAGAAAAAGCCAAAAATGGATTTTCAGACATCCTCTTCCTGATACCAGGGAAGCATGCCCTTACCATAGTACAGAGAAATAAAAAACTGACGTTCTGTCAATTATGATATTCTATTTGGCAAAAAGATAAATATCTGAATATTCAACAGAGTTAAGTAATGTCACTAGGAAGATCTATCATTTTCTTTAAACAAAGCCTAAATACATGATAGTTTCAAATCTGAGGAGGGAAATGACTCTTCTAAATGGACTCTACTGATTTATACATTGGACAAATACTTGTTACAAGAGATTACAAGTTGCTAGGGAGGGATATAAAGGTGAATAAGAAAGACATGCTTCAGAGTTTGAGGAACTGCTGGAGACTAAAAACATTTAGGTTAAAAACTAGTAAGCTGGGTAACTTAGCTCTAGCTTAACTGAATGCTTGGTGGTAATAAAAATTTAATGGCAGCTATTTAGAAGCCCACATG